CTCCACCCAGCACCTCCACCTCCACCCCAGCATCTCATTCACCTCCACCCAGCACCTCCACCTCCACCTCCACCCAGCATCTCATTCACCTCCACCTCCACCCAGCACCTCCACCTCCACCCAGCATCTCTTTCACCTCCACCTCCACCCAGCACCTCCACCTCCACCCCAGCATCTCTTTCACCTCCACCTCCACCCAGCACCTCCACCCAGCACTTCACTCACCTCCACCCAGCACCTCCACCTCCCCCTCCACCCAGCATCTCATTCACCTCCCCCCCTCCACCCAGCACCTCCACCTCCACCCCAGCACCTCCACCTCCACCCAGCACCTCACTCACTGCTCACAAGATTGCAGATCATTTCAAAAACAAGATTGACGCAATCCGTAGGGACATCTCCACTGCACAGACATCCATCCCACTTAGCATACCTTATACTAAACCTCCCCCAACACTTTCCTCTTCTGACCTTCTACTACCGAAGAGGTCACTAAGGTTTTCTCAGAAGCCCGTCTCCCCACCTGCCCCCTGGATCCTGTCCCCCCACAACTACTACGGTCACCCTCTTCTTCCATCCTATGCTCCCTCACTCACATCTTCAGTCTCTCCCCTCTCTATCGGTGCCTTCCCCTCCCCTCTATAGCATGCGCACATCACTCCCATACTTAACAAGCCCTCCCTGGACCCCCACCAACCTGAACTCACATAAGACCCATCTCCCTGCTGCCATTTACCTATAAACGCCTAGAACGCTTAGTCCACAATCACCTGAGCTCCCCCCTCACCGACAACAACCTTCTTCACCCTTCACAGTCGGCTTTCACTCACTACACTCCACTGACACCCACCCTACTAAACCTCACTAATGATCTACTAACTGCTAAAATCAATGGCCACTACTCCGTACTCCTCCCGACCAATGGCCCACTACTCCGTACTCCTCCCGACCAATGGCCACTACTCCGCACTCATCCCGACCAACCACCCACTCCTCACTCCATCCCGACCAATGGCCACTACTCCGCACTCATCCCGACCAATGGCCACTACTCCGCACTCATCCCGACCAATGGCCACTACTCCCACTACTCCGACCAACTACTCCTCCCACCCCAATTTCCACTACTCCGCACTCCTCCCGACCAATTTCCACTACTCCGCACTCCTCCCGACCAATTTCCACTACTCCGCACTCCTCCCGACCTCCACTACTCCGCACTCCTCCCGACCAATTTCCACTACTCCGCACTCCTCCCGACCAATCACTGGCCAATACTCCACTACTCCGACCACTCCTCTACTCCGACTCCTCCCGACCAATGGCCACTACTCCGCACTCCTCCCGACCAATGGCCACTACTCCGCACTCCTCCCGACCAATACTCCGCACTCCTCCCACTACTCCGCACTCTCCTCCCGACCAATGGCCACTACTCCGCACTCCTCCCGACCAATGGCCACTACTCCGTACTCCTCCCGACCAATGGCCACTCCTACTCCCGACCAATGGCCACTACTCCGTACTCCTCCCGACCAATGGCCACTACTCCGCACTCCTCCCGACCAATGGCCACTACTCCGCACTCCTCCCGACCAATGGCCACTACTCCGTACTCCTCCCGACCAATGGCCCTACTACTCCGACCAACTCCTCCCGACCAATGGCCACTACTCCGCACTCCTCCCGACCAATGGCCACTACTCCGTACTCCTCCCGACCAATGGCCACTACTCCCCGTACTCCCTCCCGACCAATGGCCACTACTCCGCACTCCTACTCACTCCTCCCGTCCGCCACTCCTCCCGACCAATGGCCACTACTCCGCACTCCTCCCGACCAATGGCCACTACTCCGCACTCCTCCCGACCAATGGCCACTACTCCGCACTCCTCCCGACCAATGGCCACTACTCCGCACTCCTCCCGACCAATGGCCACTACTCCGCACTCCTCCCGACCAATGGCCACTACTCCGCACTCCGACCACTCCTCCCGACCAATGGCCACTACTCCGCACTCCTCCCGACCAATGGCCACTACTCCGCACTCCTCCCGACCAATGGCCACTACTCCGTACTCCTCCCGACCAATGGCCCACTACTCCGCACTCCTCCCGACCAATGGCCACTACTCCTCACTCCTCCCGACCAATGGCCACTACTCCGCACTCCTCCCGACCATTGGCCACTACTCCGCACTCCTCCCTCCTCCCAATGGCCACTACTCCGCACTCCTCCCGACCAATGGCCACTACTCCGCACTCCTCCCGACCAATGGCCACTACTCCGTACACTCCGCCTCCCGACCAATGGCCACTACTCCGCACTCCTCCCGACCAATGGCCACTACTCCGCACTCCTCCCGACCAATGGCCACTACTCCGCACTCCTCCCGACCAATGGCCACTACTCCGCACTCCTCCCGACCAATGGCCACTACTCCGCACTCCTCCCGACCAATTCCACTACTCCGCACTCCTCCCGACCAATTCCACTACTCCGCACTCCTCCCGACCAATTTCCACTACTCCGCACTCCTCCGACCCTCCACTACTCCGCACTCCTCCCGACCAATTCCACTACTCCGCACTCCTCCCGACCAATTTCCACTACTCACTCCTCCCGACCAATGGCCACTACTCCGCACTCCTCCCGACCAATGGCCACTACTCCGCACTCCTCCCGACCAATGGCCACTACTCCGCACTCCTCCCGACCAATGCACTCCTCCCACTACTCCGCACTCCTCCCGACCAATGGCCCACTACTCCGTACTCCCTCCCCGACCAATTTCCACTACTCCGTACACTCCTCCCGACCAATTTCCACTACTCCGCTACCCGACCAATTTCCACTACTCCGCACTCCTCCCGACCAATGGCCACTACTCCCACTCCCATCCCGACCAATGGCCACTACTCCGTACTCCTCCCGACCAATGGCCACTACTCCGCACTCCTCCCGACCAATGGCCACTACTCCGCACTCCTCCCGACCAATGGCCACTACTCCGCACTCCTTCCACTACTCCGCATCCTCCCGACCAATGGCCACTACTCCGCACTCCCCCGACCGACCAATCCCACCTACTACTCCGCACTCCTCCCGACCAATTCCCACTACTCCGCACTCCTCCCGACCAATTTCCACTACTCCGTACTCCTCCCGACCAATTCCACTACTCCGCACTCCTCCCGACCAATTTCCACCTACTCCGTACTCCTCCCGACCAATGGCCACTACTCCGTACTCCTCCCGACCAATGGCCACTACCCGCACTCCTCCCGACCAATGGCCACTACTCCGTACTCCTCCCGACCAATGGCCACTACTCCGCACTCCTCCCGACCAATGGCCACTACTCCCGTCCACTACTCCACTCCTCCCGACCAATTGGCCACTACTCCGCACTCCTCCCGACCAATTTCCACTACTCCGCACTCCTCCCGACCAATGGCCACTACTCCTCACTCCTCCCGACCAATGGCCACTACTCCGCACTCCTCCCGACCAATGGCCACTACTCCCACTCCTCCCGACCAATGGCCACTACTCCGCACTCCTCCCGACCCACTCCCGACCAATGGCCACTACACTCCTCCCACTCCTCCCGACCAATGGCCACTACTCCGTACTCCTCCCGACCAATGGCCACTACTCCGCACTCCTCCCGACCAATGGCCACTACTACTCCGCACTCCTCCCGACCAATGGCCACTACTCCGCACTCCTCCCGACCAATGGCCACTACTCCGCACTCTCTCCGACCAATGGCCACTACTCCGCACTCATCTCCCGACCAATTTCCACCCGCTACTCCGAACTCACTCACTACCCGACCAATTTCCACTACTCCGCACTCCTCCCGACCAATGGCCACTACTCCGCACTCCTCCCGACTCCCGACCAATGGCCACTACTCCGCACTCCTCCCCCAACCAATGGCACTACCTCCCGACCAATTTCCACTACTCCGCACTCCCCGACCATGGCCACTACTCCGCACTACTCCGTACTCCGCACTCCTCCCGACCAATGGCCACTACTCCGCACTCCTCCCGACCAATTCCACTACTCCGCACCCTCCCGACCAATGGCCGCTACTCCGTACTCCTCCCGACCAATGGCCCACTACTCCGCACTCCTCCCGACCAATGGCCACTACTCCGCACTCCTCCCGACCTGGCCACTACTCCGTACTCCTCCAACCAATGGCCACTACTCCGTACTCCTCCCACAATGGCCACTACTACTCCGTACTCCTCCCAACCAATGGCCGCTACTCCGTACTCCTCCCAACCCAATGGCCGCTACAATTCCACTACTCCGTACTCCTCCCGACCAATGGCCACCGTACTACTCCCAACCAATGGCCACTACTCCGTACTCCTCCCCAACCAATGGCCACTACTCCGTACTCCTCCCGACCAATGGCCGCTACTCCGTACTCCGTACTCCCACCAACCAATGGCCGCTACTCTCCGTACTCGTACCCAACCAATGGCCCACTACTCCGTACTCATCCCGACCAATGGCCACTACTCCGTCCCCACTCAATGGCCACTCCCAACCAATGCCGCTACTCCCACTACTCCGTACTCCTCCCAACCAATGGCCTACTACTCCGTACTCCTCCCAACCAATGGCCACTACTCCGTACTCCTCCCGACCAATGGCCACTACTCCGTACTCCTCCCAACCAATGGCCTACTACGTACTCACTCCTCCCAACCAATGGCCACTACTCACTCCTCCCAACCAATGGCCACTACTCCGTACTCCTCCCAACCAATGGCCACTACTCCGTACTCCTCCCAACCAATGGCCACTACTCCGTACTCCTCCCAACCAATGGCCACTACTACTCCGTACTCCTCCCACTCATCCCAACCAATGGCCACTACTCCGTACTCCTCCCAACCAATGGCCACTACTCCGTACTCCTCCCAACCAATGGCCGCTACTACTCCGTACTCCTCCCAACCAATGGCCACTACCAATCCCAACCAATGGCCACTACTCCGTACTCCTCCCAACCAATGGCCACTACTCCGTACTCCTCCCAACCAATGGCCACTACTCCGTACTCATCCCAACCAATGGCCACTACTCCGTACTCCTCCCAACCAATGGCCCGCTACTCCGTACTCCTCCCAACCAATGGCCGCTACTCCGTACTCATCCCAACCAATGAACCCGCTACTCCCACTACTCCGTACTCCTCCCAACCAATGGCCACTACTCCGTACTCCTCCCAACCAATGGCCACTACTCCACCGTACTCATCCCAACCAATGGCCACTACTCCGTACTCCTCCCAACCAATGGCCACTACTCCGTACTCCTCCCAACCAATGGCCACTACTACTCCACTACCAATGGCCCGTACTCATCCCAACCAATGGCCGCTACTCCGTACTCCTCCCAACCAATGGCCGCTACTCCGTACTCCTCCCAACCAATGGCCGCTACTACTCCGTACTCATCCCAACCAATGGCCCTACTACTCCGTACTCTCCCAACCAATGGCCGCTACTCCGTACTCCTCCCAACCAATGGCCGCTACTCCGTACTCCTCCCAACCAATGGCCGCTACTCCGTACTCCTCCCAACCAATGGCCGCTACTCCGTACTCCTCCCCCAACCAATGGCCGCTACTCCGTACTCCTCCCAACCAATGGCCGTACTACTCCGTACTCCCAACCAATGGCCCTACCCAACCAATGGCCGCTACTCCCTACTCCTCCTCCCAACCAATGGCCACTACTCCGTACTCCTCCCAACCAATGGCCACTACTCCCGTACTCCCTCCCAACGTATCCTCCTCCCAACCAATGGCCGCTACTCCTACTCTCCCAACCAATGGCCTCTCCTACTCCTCCCAACCAATGACCGCTACTACTCCGTACTCCTCCCAACCAATGGCCACTACTCCGTACTACCAATGGCCCTACTCCGTACTCCTCCCAACCAATGGCCGCTACTCCGTACTCCTCCCAACCAATGGCCGCTACTCCGTACTCCTCCCAACCAATGGCCGCTACTCCGTACTCCTCCCAACCAATGGCCGTACTCCTCCTCCAACCAATGGCCGCTACTCCGTACTCCTCCCAACCAATGGCCGCTACTCCGTACTCCTCCCAACCAATGGCCGCTACTCCGTACTCTTCCCAACCTATGGCCACTACTCCGTACTCTTCCCAACCTATGGCCACTACTCCGTACTCCTCCCAACCAATGGCCACTACTGCCTACTCATCCAACCAATGGCCACTACTCCGTACTCCTCCCAACCAATGGCCACTACTCCGTACTCCTCCCAACCAATGGCCACTACTCCGTACTCCCTCCCAACCAATGGCCACTACTCCGTACTCCTCCCAACCAATGGCCACTACTCCGTACTCATCCCAACCAATGGCCACTACTCCGTACTCCTCCCAACCAATGGCCACTACTCTGTACTCCTCCCGACCAATGGCCACTACTCCGTACTCCTCCCGACCAATGGCCACTACTCCGTACAACCTCCCAACCAATGGCCGCTACTCCTACTCCTCCCAACCCAATGGCCACTACTCCGTACTCATCCCAACCAATGGCCACTACTCCGTACTCCTCCCAACCAATGTCACACTCCGTACTCATCCCAACCAATGGCCACTACTCCGTACTCCTCCCAATCAATGGTCACTGCTCCGTACTCATCACAACCAATGGCCACTACTCCGTACTCCTCCCAATCAATGGTCACTTCTCCGTACTCATCACAACCAATGGCCACTACTCCGTACTCCTCCCGACCAATGGTCACTGCTCCGTACTCATCACAACCAATGGCCACTACTCCGTACTCCTCCCAATCAATGGTCACTGCTCCGTACTCATCCCGACCAATGGCCACTACTCCGTACTCTTACTACTTGACCTCTCTGCGGCTTTTGATATGGTTGACCATCCCCTCCTCCTCAAAAAATTCCACTCTCTTGGCCTCAGAGACTCTGCACTCTCTCCTGGTTCTCCTCCTACCTATCGCAGCGCTCCTTCAGTGTTACCTATAACGCTGCCTCCTCCTCTTCACTCCCTCTCATTGTAGGGGTCCCTCAAGGTTCTGTCCTTGGACCCTTCTCTTCTCCATCTACACCTCCTCCCTTGGTCACTTGATAAACTCCCATGGCTTTAAGTACCATATCTATGATGATGACACACAAATCTGTCTACCCCCCACCTCACCCCTTCAGTCTCCTCCTCCTCACCCCTCCTACTCTCTTTAGTCTCCTCCTCACCTCACCCCTTCAGTCTCCTCTCGCATTACTAACCTACTAAGCAACATATCGGCATGGATGTCACTCCACTTCCTCAAACTCAATCTTTCCAAAACTGAGCTCTTAGTATTCCCCCCAGCCCGTGCCCCTCCCCCGACTTCTCCATCAAGATCAATAATACAACCATCAGTCCCTCCCCTCATGCCAGGGTACTCAGTGTCATCCTAGACTCCCATCTGTCCTTCCAGACCCAAATCCAATCACTGTCCAAATCTTGTAGACTTCACCTCCGCAACTTCACCTCCGCAACATCTCCAACCTCCGCAACACCTCCAACCTCCGCAACACCTCCAAGATACGCCCGTTCCTTACCTCGGAAACCACTAAGCAACTTATTCACTCCCTGGTTATATCTCACCTTGACTACTGTAACTCCCTCCTCATTGGCCGACCTCATCGCAGGCTATCCCCTCTTCAGTCTATTATGAATGCTGCTGCCAGACTCATCCACCTTACTAACCATTCTGTATCTGCCAATCCCTCCACTGACCTCCACTCAGTGTCCTCCACCCTCTCTCTCTGCCAATCCTCCTCCACTGACTTCCACTCAGTGTCCTCCACCCCTCTCTGCCAATCCCTCCCTGGCCTCCATTCAGTGTGTCCACCCCTCCACCAATCCCCCCTCTCTGCCAATCCCTCCACTGGCCTCCATTCCGTTCCCTTCCACCCCTCTCTGCCAATCCCTCCACTGGCCTCCACCCCTCTCTGCCAATCATTCCACTGGCCTCCATTCAGTGTCCTCCACCCCTCTCTGCCAATCCCTCCATTCCGTGTCCTCCACCCCTCTCTGCCAATCCCTCCACTTTGTGTCCTCCACCCCTCTCTGCCAATCCCTCCACTGGCTTCCCGTTGCCCAATGGATAAAATTCAAAACATTAACAATAACATATAAAGCCATTTATAACTCCGCCCCAAATTACATCAACGATCTTGTGTCCAAATATCACCCAAACCGTACTCTCCGCTCCTCGCACGACCTCCTGCTCTCTAGCTCCCTTGTCTCCTCCTCCCATGCTCGTCTCCAGGACTTCTCCAGAGCTTCCCCCATCCTCTGGAACTCACTACCCCAATTTAGTAGAATATCGCCTACTCTGCTCACTATTAGGCAATCTCTGAAAACCGATCTCTTCAGGGAAGCCTATCTTGCCTTCAGCTAATACTGGAATCCTCTACTCCTCCTACCAGTCTATCCCCCCCAGTTATTACCTCTTGTACCACTAGCCCCTCCCTCCTAGACTGTGAGCTCCCAGGATCAGCCCCTCCCTCTTAGATTGTAAGCTCCAAGGATCAGGGCCCTCCTATCCCTCTTGTATTGAGCTGTATTGTCTCCTGATATATTGTAAAGCGCTGAGCAAAACTGTTGGCGCCATAAATCCTGTATAATAATAATCTCTGGTTGGACACGGGGATCCTCCCATCTCTGGCTAGCCACAGGCACTTCCGATTTTTTCTGACTATACATGGGCTTCTTCCATCTCTGGCAGGACATGGGCTTCTTCCATCTCTGGCAGGACATGGGCCTCTACCATCTCTGGCAGGACATGGGCTTCTTCCATCTCTGGCTGGACATGGGCTTCTTCCATCTCTGGCTGGACATGGGCTTCTTCCATCTCTGGCAGGACATGGGCTTCTTCCATCTCTGGCAGGACATGGGCTTCTTCCATCTCTGACTATACATGGGCTTCTTCCATCTCTGGCAGGACATGGGCTTCTTCCATCTCTGGCAGGACATGGGCTTCTTCCATCTCTGACTATACATGGGCTTCTTCCATCTCTGGCAGGACATGGGCTTCTTCCATCTCTGACTATACATGGGCTTCTTCCATCTCTGGCAGGACATGGGCTTCTTCCATCTCTGGCAGGACATGGGCTTCTTCCATCTCTGACTATACATGGGCTTCTTCCATCTCTGGCAGGACATGGGCTTCTTCCATCTCTGGCAGGACATGGGCTTCTTCCATCTCTGACTATACATGGGCTTCTTCCATCTCTGGTAGGACACAGGGACTCCTAATTTCTCTGGCTGGATTCAGGAACCCCCTCACCAAATCTGATTGGACAAAGGGAACCTCTCCCCATCTCTCCTACTATAATTCCGCAATGCACCGTGTCCTCCTCACATCTTCCAGGAAGGAGGACAGAAGGTGAGAGCACAGAGAGGAAGTCACCGAGGACTTGCAGGCTGTGATTGGTGGTGTCACCTTCTGGCTCCATTCTGCCTGGTAGGTGAATCACAAAGGCGTCTGAACAAAACAATGAATATTCTGGAAGGTAAACCAACCCACGCCATTTTATTGCTGGACACGGGGATCCCCCCATCCCTAACTGGACACGGGGAACCCTATCTCTGGGTGCACACAAGCCCCCCGCCATCTCTGGCTTGACACAGCGACCCCCCCATCTGATTGGACACGGGGATCCCCCCATCTCTGGCTGGACACGGGGAGCCACCCATCCCTAACTGGACACGGGGAACCCTATCTCTGGGTGCACACAAGCCCCCCCCCCCATCTCTGGCTTGACACAGCGACCCCCCCATCTGATTGGACACGGGGATCCCCCCATCTCTGGCTGGACACGGGGAGCCACCCATCTCTGACTAGATACGGGGATCCCCCATCTCTGACTGGACACGGGGATCCCCCCATCTCTGACTAGACACTGGGATTCTCCCCATCTCTGACAGGACACAGCAAACCCCCCCATCTCTGGATGGACACGGGGATCCCCCCATCTCTGACTGGACACACCCCAAGAAGAAGCTGGCCGACAGCAGACCTAGCCTCCAGCACCTCCGCGTCTCCATCAATCGGAATAATTCTCGATGTATTCTGTTGCCCCACATTCCAGCCTTTGATTTCTGGACACAATTCCTTTATAGAGATGGAAGATCACCCCGAGAAGAAGCTGGAGGACAGCAGACCTGGCCTCCAGCGTCTCCATCCATCTGAATAATTCTTGATGTATTCTGCTGCCCCACATTCCAGCCTTTGATTTCTGGACACAATTCCTTTGTAGAGATGGATGAAGATCACCCCAAGAAGCTGGAGGACAGCAGACCTGGCCTCCAGCACCGCCGTGTCTCCATCAATCTGAATAATTCTGCTGCCTCACATTCCAGCCTTTGATTTCTAGACACAATATGGACACAATTCCTTTGTAGAGATGGACGAAGATCACCCCGAGAAGAAGCTGGAGGACAGCAGACCTGGCCTCCAGCACCTCCGTGTCTCCATCAATCTGAACAATTCTCGATGTATTCTGCTGCCCCACATTCCAGCCTTTGATTTCTAGACACAATATGGACACAATTCCTTTGTAGAGATGGACGAAGATCACCCCGAGAAGAAGCTGGAGGACAGCAGACCTGGCCTCCAGCACCTCCGTGTCTCCATCAATCTGAACAATTCTCGATGTATTCTGCTGCCCCACATTCCAGTCTTTGATTTCTGGACACAATTCCTTTGTAGAGATGGAAGATTACCCCGAGAAGAAGCTGGACAACAGCAGACCTGGCCTCCAACGTCTCCACCAATCTGAACAATTCTCGATGTATTCTGCTGCCCCACATTCCAGCCTTTGATTTCTGGACACAATATGGAGATGCCTGTTGGGGAAAATACAATCTTCTTACAAATCCTTCAGAGGAAAGAAGTGCAATCACAGGAGACGTGACCCCCTTTCACCTTTCCAGCGTCTTTGAAGAGCATTTACGTTGGAGAACAAAGTCGATTTCTTTTCTTTGTTGAGGTTTTTGGCGAATTTTCTCCCGGTTGGTGGTTCTGTAGTATAACAAATACCATGATAGTGTTTGGGAAGGTGGGAAGGACCCTTGACATGGGCACTTGGAGCTATTATTAGTGAACAGATTGCCCCCCCCCCCCCCCGGATCTAATGCTGTACTGCGCTTTAACAGCGGTTATGGTGTCATTGTGTGCCCATAGTCCTGTCCGGGGCTTATTTTCAGCTGAAATACGGGGGGGGACGCAGTTCTGGCCCCTCCAGCATTGAGTGTATGTAATGCAAGGGGGTGTGCTGAAGGGTCTATTGATGTTGACAGCTGGGGAATCTATTGTTGGGGAGGGAGGGGTCTATTGTCACTGTTAAGGGAT